TTGAAATGAATGATTTGCCTGTGATTATCTTAGGAAAATCTGGTTTACCTTCTAATTCTCTCCACAAACTTGCAAATCATTTTGGTTTTAGTTTTAGCAATTGTTGTGTTATTATTACAATTAATATGGGTGAGGGTATCATTGTCAAGGAGCAAGCATTCCTTTCAGTTGAGACTTTTCTTGCTCAGTCTTTCGTTTCTTGCATTGTAATATCAGCCAAGCCAGTATTTCCTAGTTAAGATAGTATTAAAGTTTTCTACACACCTTTTCAGTAGCACTATTGTTGTTTAGTGACTTTTACAAGTAGATTTCAACTTACAAAAGATGATTGGCTCATCATGTGCTCTTCTCCACTTCTGTTAATTGTGTGAATAGAGTGATCATTTGGTATCTGGGCTCTTGTTCTTCCTCCATGAACTGCAGGTCATCTCTACTTGACAATTGTACATCCCTGGGCAAAGACGGCTGGAAGATAGAACCTGGAATGGTGGCATCCACAGGGAAACAGCGTTTTCTATACTTACACCGCTGATTTTGGGGGTACATATTCTAAGATATCAATCTTGAGGCTGAACACGCTAGCAGTAAGGATGATGATCAAAATTTATGATTTAAGAACAGAGTTAAAGAAGATTTACCTTTGAACAATAGCTTAATGAACCTATAAGCCATCTCCACAGTAGCTGCATTTTCTCTATCTCTGATGTTCTTTCTTCTAATTTTTTAAAATATATTTAACTCTTCCATATTTGTGCACGGACAGAAAGGTAGTGTGACTTTCTTAGAGGATAAGGCTCACATTAAAGATATTATCAACAAGCTTATAAATATTCATGCAAATGGGAAAACACCTGCTAGCAGTGATCATCCTGTTGTTATCTGGAGTGAAAGAAATGTGGAGAACGCATGGAAACCAAGGACAGTGCACAAAAATCTGCATTCCTGAAGTTCTATATGACCAAGGACTGTTGATAAATTATAGAAATATTTCAATGGTAGGTTTTAGCAAGTTGCAATTCCATTGTTCTTTGAATCACGTGAGGAGGAGAAACAGCTATTTGATATGTTCGTCGCATTGAACAAGTGTTAATTGCAAGATAGTTACGGGGGGTTACTTGTGAGTGGTGGACCTGGTGATGAAAAGAATTACTTGGAAAAGGCAATTGCACATTATTGTAGTTAAAGTGTTCAATTATTAATCATTGAGGTTTATGAAAATCTACTCCTTGGTAGGACTGAAGAAAGATATATGGATATTGACAAGAAGTGGCTTTAGCAGCCACAAGTGTAATGACCAAAGTGATGGCTTTTTATTTATTTATTTTTTAAAAAAGATGATATTTCTACATAGACGGGGAAGTGGCTTTTAATGGGTTATGCACATTATTGTATTTAAGGTCTTCAATTATTTCAGAAGTTCTGACACTTCCATTGTGTTATGGAATGCTATCTTAAATATGATGCCCAGTTTTCTTTTTAAAATATTTCAATTGTTTCAATTTTTAGGTAACTAATTCCATTTACTGATGAATTTATGCTCTATTTGCACTTCTATTACTGAAAAATTAATCTGAAGTATCATTTATTATTATTATTATTATAATTATAAAGTGATCCAATGTTGGTGATTTATACAAAAGGGAAAGATGGAACACTTACAGAAGTAGGCCGTACTGAAGTAGTTCTTAATTCATTGAATCCAACATGGATCACAAAACACACAATTACTTATCATTTTGAGACTGTCCAAACCATGCTGTAAGTAGGGATGGCAATTTGCCTCGATCCTCGTGGGGTTTCGTCGGGATTCCCGTCACGGGAACGGGACGGGGAGGAATATTCCTCGCGGGGGCGGGGAAGATTTTCTCCCCGTGAAAATTCGTGGAGAATTTTTCCCGTCCCGCGGGGCCCCGTGGGGATCCCCATCCCCGCGAAAAATTAGAAAAATATATAAATTAGTTTTATTTTAAATTTAATTCAACCTTTAAACCTAAATTCAATTCAATAAAATTTAAATTTAATTTAATTTTATCCAACCTATTATTAA